CATGAAAATATTAACGACACTGTAAGAATAAACAGTAACAAAACAAAATATAATTTTCATTAAAAAATGGCAGATTAACAAATGTGAAAGAAAATAATTAACTAAGCAGTTTTTATGGAGGTAACCTCAAGTGGTTATTTATCTTCCGTTTTCTAAACATTTTTAGACTGTATTTTTTCATAAAAAATTATCAATAAAATGTTATGAAAAAAAGGCTAATTTATTATGACTTTTGTTAATTAACTATGTAAATTTAAAATTCTTTTATGTTCTACTAGTTGAATTAATTTTCTACTCATTTAAAATTTTTAGATGCTTAAGTTCCCTTCTTATTTTTTTGGCAAAAATTTATTAGTTCTTTTAAAAATATGAAATATAGAAGTAAAAGAATCCCCCTTTCCTTCTTGCACTCCCAAATCATTATGTAAACATGCATTTACAAATTTTAAAACCCGAACACGCATATGTGCGATGTTATAATCATGCGATGATTTGTAGGTACTTTATTTTTTACCATGATATTTTTGATAACAATGTTTTTAAACTGCTTTATTTTTTATGACAATAATTTGTACCACAATGTTTTAGAACTGCAATGAGTGCTCTTTGCTGCTCTCTTTGAACCGCTTTTTGCTTTTCTCCCCTGATGTTTTGTACCTCGAAGTTTTCTCCCTGCATTGTTTTCTCTACACCTCAGATTGTTGGAACCAAATATTATCACAATGTATTATATTTAAAGAAATTAAATAATGAGGAATCTGCATAAATGTATGTATTTTTCTCGCATTGTGATAAAAGAACAGAACCTAGAGCCATCAAATTTTGAATAATGTACGTCTCCATGATGGCATCTGGAAGCTAAGGGCATCTGGAAGCTCAAATTTGAAGTTTAGAATTTGTTTTATGATGCATTTCATATTTCGTGAAGCATTTAGGAGTTTTTGATTAAGAAATTCAGCGATTTCAAAGCAAGCAATGGCAACACTGTACGAAAAAACATTTTTATCTCCTGCGCAAGACTGTGTATCTGAAATTCTAAAGATATGCTCTTTTAAAATTTTTTTTGATATTGCTGTTGAATTGAATTTTATAGTGTAACTGCAAAGAACATGCTATTAAAAAAAAATCCAAAGAGGTGTTTTTTTAACATTTTGTGTGTTACCTTTATTTATTAAATATCATGTTCTTCACACTTAAACCATAAAATTCAGTTCAAGAGCAGTATTGCAGAATAATTTTAAAATGAGCATATATTTAGAATTTTCGATACACAGTCTAGCGCGCTGGAGATAAAAATATTTTTTCTGTACAACGTTACCATTGCTCACTTTGAAATCCTTTAGTTTGTTAATCAAAAATTCGTTAAAGTTTTACAAAACATGAAATCGATGATAAAACAAATTCCATATTTCAAACTTGGGCTTCCAGGTGCACATAATTCACAGAATGATTACATTATTTAAAATTTGATGGCTCTAGGTACCATTGTTTTATGACAATGCGAGAAATGTACATAAATTTATGCAGATTCTTCATTATTTAATTTCTTCAAATATAATACAGGCAATAATATTTGGTGGCAACAATTCGAAAACTGAAACAATGCTTGTAGTGAATCAATGCAAAATGCCAAAACGAAATTAATTGTCCTTCTGGGCAAATTGCTCCTTTGAACTAATAAAAGTAACACAATATTAAAAAAGCTCTCATTTGGGCATAATGTAAAATGTGAAAGCTTTTAAATTTTTGTTTTCTTTTTTTTTTTTTTTTTTTTTTATTAGTTCGTTTTTCTTTCTTTTTTTTGGGGGGGGGGAGGGGCTGATAATTAGTTGCATCAAATTGATTGTTGTTATTATTTTGTTAAATTCAATATTCAATCATACTTCTATTTATTTTCTTATTACTTATTATGATGCAATATTATATATATGAGATTTCAGTTCATTATGTACATCCTGTTTAGAATTTAATTTTTTTCCCAGTAAAACATTTTGTAAGACACAAAATAAGTGAAAATCAGTTGGGGTAATATCTGGGGAGTAAGCAGGATGTGGTAGAAGCTCCCAATTAAATTCACTAATTTTTTGAAGCATTGTCTGAGCCGTATGTGGTCTAGCGTTATCATAATGAAACAACACTTTCTTGATATTCACCATTCGTGGGCGTTTTTTGATCAATTCTGAGTTTAGATGGCAAAGTTGTTCACTATCAATTTCTGAATTAATTGTTTGATTTGGTTCTAACAGTTCAAAATGTCCTAAACAGGGTTGATCATCAATGCTGCTTTTTCCAACTTTAAATTTTTAAAATCATTTCTGGGCAGTCCTTACATTAGTAGTGTGTTCACCATGTACACTATTAATTTTTATCACTGCAAACTTGGCAGATTCACCACATGAAAATAAAAAATGTAGCACAGCATGTTTATACTGATTATCTATATTCATCTTTAAGGTACTAAAATGCGTTCAATATTTATGAAAGTTGGTGATGAACTGAATAATATGTTAGTCAAACAATGACAAATTTCAACTGGTTCAAAATTGTATTCTTTTAATAAATGCGTCATAGTGAATTCCATGCATACTCTTAATGCGCACGAACTTATGGACTGACCCGATATATAGTTCATCCCAAGAGGTAGTGCATGATGTAGTTCATTGCTAAAATTCCAAATTTTTCGTTGTTTAGAGGCTGTAACTTTTAATAAATAGAAAATAATTAGATGACTTTGTCGTCTCACCGAGCATCTCTTAAAATAACTAGCAACAAATTCTTTCATTTTAGGATTCAGGTATCATAATATGAGGTAAGAATTATACACTACTTCTCTTTAATGAATTCAGATTAACATTAAATTAAAATTCATTGATATTTTTTAGTGTTAAGTTATATATGGTTCGAAAATGATTTACATAAACAGTGGAGAAATAAATTAAATGCAGGGTTCATACAGTCCTTAAAAGTCCTTAGGTTTTTTGGAACCAATTTTGGTCTTTAAAAGTCCTTAATTTTGACCAAATTTGGCAGGAGGTCTTTAATTTTAATCACTTGAAATTTCTCTCTGTCTTTTACGACTGCCATTTTGAATGTGAATTAACATTCTGGACAAATATTTTTGGCGATTCATTGACAAATATAGTTATCTTTAGAGTCAGTCATGGATTATAATTTGTTCCTATTTCTAATATAAATGGTAGGATACTCCAGTTTCTGAGCAAGAAGTGAAACATAAGCTTTGTGAAATTGTTTCTTTTTTTCTAATGAAGAGCTATTAAACAACTTTTCGCTTTTGGGAATGTGAATTCTTTAATAAACGGTTCCAAATTTGGCAACTTATCAACATTTTGGCGATTTTAAGATAAGTTTGTATAAAAAATTTTTAATTTAAAAATCTGGGAATTTTTTGACATTTTTTTAAAACATTAAAACATTGATCAGTTTCATTAAAATAATGCTAATATATTGAAATAGTATTAAAAAAATAGCATTAAATTGGAACATTTTTTAACACACTTTATTAAAATGGAACATTTTAATTTTTCGCTATCATATTGTTACTTTTTTTTTTTTTTTCTGACACCAGTTGTTACGTTATTTTCTTCCTTGACATTTGTACGGGGTTTATGTGGATTTGGAGTGAATAACGATGACAACACTTGATGGAATATTGAAACACACTTTATTTATCAATATTAATCAGGACAGCTCCAAAACACTTGTACAGTTGTCAAAGATCTACTATAAACACGCTGGAACAATCAGCGACACAGCCTTTACACTGTCAGGCAATAATGGTGGAGACAGCTCCCGACTCTGCTCGGTCGTTCTCAGAACTCCACATACTCTCGAGACTCTCCACGCTACAACTCGCGATGCATTCGACGACACACAGGAGCACAGCTGTGTGAATCATCTGTGAAAAACTGTTTCTTTTTTGTTTGCTTAATTTCTTTTATACATCATTCTAGCTTTATTATAGTATTTGAATAGAACATGTGGCAACGATTAGACAATTCTATTCTTTTTAAATGATATAAATTTTGTGCATTATGAGTTATAATATGAACGAAATATAATACTGTTAAGTGAATCTTGCGTCAGAGTGTTGCTATGGTAAACAAATACTAGAGTAATTTTAAATAATGCATTTATTCTATTGTGGTTTATGCACTGTTGGCGAAGTAGATTTAATTCAATCCAATAAGTTTAAATGAAATGCAAGAAAAATGTGTATAATTTAATATTCCGTACAAGCAAGTCATGTGGTGTACACATCAGGTTTTTTCATTAATGATCCTTAAAAGTACTTTATTTCGATGTGCAGAAATGTGTACGAACCCTGCAAAAGGAATTGTATACATTTTAGGGAATATTATTTTTTTTGCATACAGTACATTTGAACACAAAATAATATATATACATATATGTATTTATACAAAAGGTATCTTAAATAATAAAATTTTTTAAGAATCTGTTTTCTGAACATTAAATTAAAAGAAGAAATAAAGATTTGAATAATATTTTTTGATTCAGTCACAAGTAAGCCTTCTTGAAATCAGAATGGATTTCAGTTAAAATTAAATTTATAATTCTTTGCTGCGTCTGATAATTCAATATTATGGAAAGCTCCTGAATGCATGTATAAGAAGAGCTTCTACTGTCATTGAAATTCTTAAAAAACTTATCAGATAGTATTATTTTAATTCCAATGTTTAATTGAAGGGGAAAATGTATTGTGATATTTGTATTATGATATTGATTTTGTGAATGTATTGTATTAAAAATGGAACAAAATTTCATTGCTCTGATGTATTCATTACCTGTAATGGAAGCTTGTTCAAATATGCTTAATGTTAACAGATTTTCCTATTTCTTTGCAATACTTTACCTTAATGTGTTCAGACGAAAATTAAGACTTAATATGTTTCCTTAGATTGTCTAAAACTATAAAAATAACATTCAGTTTAACTATTTAATTTATTATCTTTTGAATCAAGGTGGGACTGGCCCTAAAACTGATAAATATTGGGGATGCATGCTGCGTTGTGGTCAAATGATCATGGCTGAAGCCTTGGTTTGCTGTCATCTAGGGAGAGGTATTTTTATCTTAGATCATAGTAATTTTGTTAGTTTCTATAACAGTACAATGTGTTTACTTTTATTTTATTTGTATGACATTTTTAATAATTTTGCTAAAATTTTTAATGTTAGAAACATCTTTTAGTCTTTTTTTTAAATTTTTAGACTGTCATATTCATTATAATGCTTTACACTGCCTTTATCATACATCAAACTTGGAAAATATTATCTCTGCATGGAATATAAGTTTATAGGTGAATCTTCGGATTATGGTAACTTGGCAGTTTTTTTGCAAAAATTTGGCGACCAACCCTGCTACAGCAACCTGCTAGTTTTTTTTTCGGGGGGGGGGGACGCCATTTTGTTTTCACAAGGTAAAGGCCTTTTTTTTTTTTTTTTTTTTTTTTTTTTTTTTTTTTTTTTTTTTTTTTTTTTTTTTTTTTTTTTTTTTTTTTTTTTTTTTTTTTTTTTTTTTTAACTCAACATTTTCCCCAACAATCTGCTAGCCGAATTACGCTTATGGTAGAACTTTTATGGAACAAAAGTGCTTAATCATGATGAAGATTAGGTGCGAAATTGGGAGAAAGTGCAGAATCGACCACTGCTTCGCACGCTTTTAAGAATTGCACATACGCGGTATCCATGTACACATCGACCTATTTTCACTTAAAAAAATCCCAGAATTGCACAAAAATGGCATTGCGCACACTCTTGACTTTATCCATATACACATCGACTAATTTTCACTTAAAAAAAGTCAAAGAAAATATTGACAAAATAAATTGACAAAAATCCAATTCTTCTTACTTTTGTAAAAAGCGCCAAACAAATAAGTGGGCGATTCTGCACTTTAGCAGTGAAATTGTTTCTTAGTGCTTATTAGCTAAAATCACGATCAGAATTTTCCGGAAAATGTAACATGACATGTCTCATGATCTCTCATTTCACCGAGACAAAATAATCTGTGATCCGAACTGTGTACTTCTCAGATTATTGCTAAAGTCCTACCTAGCAACCTTTATCGCGTTACCAAAATGTCGCCAAACTACCTGTTACCATATTCCAAAGATTAGCCAGTTTATATTCTACATGACCAGATTCTCAGTGTTGCCATTTGCAAAGATCTTTATCTTTTGAACTTAATTATATTGTAATTGAACCTGAAAAATTTAAAAGCAGCAGATAGTGGCCTTAATAATTTAATATTTATATTATTATTTTAATAAAATCTTTGATTAGTTTAAAAGACATTTGCAATGTATTCAGTTAATAATTTCCATGTATGTTAACAGCATTGTAATTAGTAAAATATGTTTCTAATATATATTAAGTAAGGTATTTTTTTAATGTTATTTTTATTACATAAATGTGTAGTTTATTTTGTAATTAACTTTGGTATTTATAAATAAAGTCTCATAAACTGGCTGAATTAATAAATTTTTAAATGACTTTCATCAGTATATAGGCTGTCTTTGTGTTATAAATCAGATACATTTCTCAGAACATTTTAGTCAGCTTTGTAAGTAATTCAGACCCCTGAGGAATAATAGGGTTATAATAACAATATCACATTGATTCTTGTATTGTTATAATACTGCAGTGAAACAAATATCACAATAAAGTGAGTCACATAAATGTTTTTAATTAGAATTATGCTTATATAATACATATTGTACTTTGTTAAGTTTGCTATAAGGTTTCAAATAGCAATACCTAGATTTAAAATCATTTACTTAAAAATTATAATCATCACTAGATTCTTCAGTAAGTTGAAATTTTTCTTTGGCTGAGAGATATTTGATGATAATGCTTATTAATTAACAACAATTAACTTGATTATAGTAATGAAAAGATTGCATATTTTCATTTAGAGTGTTCAATATTTATAAAAACTAGAATTTTATATCCACATAATACATTTTAATTTTAGGAAGACAGTATTTTTTCTTTTCCAAAAACGCTTAAAACCATCATTTTGACATGCTGAATTAAAATCAAGAATATGCAGTACAAATTCCGTAGTCCAGCCAGATTAAGGGTTTTTCCAGATTATAGATCATCAATTTAAATCTGGTAAGATGGCATGCAGAAATTATACAATTAAAAATATGAAACCGTAATTTATGAAATAAAGAGCAATTATGATATAAAGGGTATCAAAATTTTAAAAAAAAAAAAAAAAAAAAAAAAGCTTAATATTTATTTGCTTACTTTATTAAACATTTCTTTCAATGTAAGTTGTTTAAGTTGCTTCATTTTTTGTGCTAACTGCGCATGCATAAACATTAAATACGCATGCGTTAAGCATACAAAAAAAAAAAAAAAGTTTGTGGCTTTGAGATCCGGATTATAGATCATTCTGGATAATGGACGTCCGGATTACAGACTTTGTACTGTAATACGAGGGCTATCCAGAAAGTAGATTACGTTTTGGAATAAAAAAATAAACAAAGTATAGGAAACAAATTTTATTATATACAGATGAAAGCCACACTCAAATACTACTTTTCTACATAGTCACCATACAAATTAAGGCATTTATCGTAGCGATGATTTACGAGCTTGGAAATTCCTTCGTCGAAAAATTCGGCCGGCCGCCTGCGCCTTCAACCACTTCGTTACCTCTTCTTGCAGCTGTGCGTCGTCATCAAAACGCTGCATAGCCAGCCACTTCTTCATTGCTGGGAATAGGTGGAAGTCGCTCGGTGCCAGGTCGGGACTGTACGGCGGATGAGGAAACAACTCCCACTTAAAAGATTCAAGAACTTACTTACGAGTGACATTTGCCGTGTGGGGCCGGGCGTTGTCGTGAATCAACAAGATCTTAGAGCTCAACATTCCTCTGCGCTTGTTTTGAATTGCTCTTCTGAGTTTTTGGAGAGTTTTGGCAATACCTTTGAGAGTTTATTGTAGTGCCTCTTTCCAGGAAGTCCACCAAAATTACACCTTTTCTGTCCCAAAAAACAGTCGCCATCATCTTCCTTGCCGACATTGTTTGCATGCATTTCTTGGGTTTTTGGGGAGAACTTGTGTGCCCCCACTGCATTGATTGCAATTTCGTTTCACAGTTCACATGTTTCACCCATGTGTTTCGTCACCAGTAATGATGCGATCGAGTAAAGAGTCACCATCCTTATGGTAAGCGTCCAAAAAGTTCAACGCTGCAGCCATTCGCTGATTTTTGTGGTCCTCTGTCAAGATTTTTGGAATCCATCTTGCACAAAACTTGTGGTAACCAAGCTTTTCGCTGATGATTTCGTGCAACAAACTTCGCGAAATTTTGTGGAAAACTCAAAGAAAGTTCCGTTATTGTGAAATTTCGATTTTCACGGACTTTAGCATCGACTTTTTCGAGAAGTTCGGCGGTCACTATGCTGGGTCTCCCACTTCGATCTCGTCGTCGTGAACATTGGTTCGGCCATTTTGAAATCTTATGACCCACTGACGCACTCCACCTTCAGTGATAATGTTGTCCCCATACACTTCACGAAGCTGCCGATAGATTTCTATCGGTTTACAGTTTTTTTGCAGTCAGAAACCTTATTACTGAGCGCACCTCGCAGCTCGCGGGATTTTCAATTAACGCAGACATTTCAAACCGTCACAGTATCTGAACGGAGCACAGCACGAACCTCTCACTAGCACGGCTAGATGCAGACTGAGCTGCGCAACGCTCTGACCCCAAGATGGCCGCGCTAGCCCTGCCCCTAGCGGACACAGACGGAAACGTAATCTACTTCCTGGATGGCCCTCGTATATTCAACTTGTTTTATAGACAAAGTTTCTGTAATTTAAATTTAGAATTATTTCTCACCAACAAATCACAAAATGTAGTATACTTGGATACGACGTTTTTATGAACTTATGTAATGAGATCCAAAAAGTCATTTTAAATGAAAAAGCTAAATTTTACATTTATTAACACATTTTCTTATTATTTTGTCTTTTTAATTCTTAATAACTTAATTTCGACCTACTCAGTTTAATTTCTTTGGCTCACACAGAGCACAGTTTAGTTAATGTATATAAGAGCAGAATAATTGAATTTAGTAGAGAGCCTTTGGCAGTGACCGATGACAATTTCATCACTATTTTCACATCACTTCTAGATTCACTTGAATTGGCTTTAGCCTTTGATAGGTGCATTTTTGAGGGCTGAACCAAGATTTATAGGCTGCACATTGTTTTGTGAATTTCATATTATATTATGTGTAAGTTTTACTGTGACTCTTATGTTCTGTTAATTCTACAAACAGTGGAGATCTTCTTTATTAGTTGTGTAAATCATTAGGTTGAAGATCTAATGGAAAGTTTGAAACTGTCTCCTGAGTTAGGTTACTTTACTGAAAGATTAGGCAGAGCAAAAAGTCACCTCGCTGTCTTTATGGAGCCAAAATTTAACATTTAAGACAGATAGGTTCCTACAAAGTGAAATAATATTGGGACTGTTTCTTTTAATCAGAGCTAAACATGTTCATGAAATTACCGTATTTATGCGAATCTAATGCACCATCGAATCTAATGCGCATCCCCATTTTAAGTCTTTAAATAATAAAAAAATTGTTTGTCGGCGAATGTAATGCGCATCAATGGCATGGGGAATTTATTAAATCTTATTTTAATACAACAATGGATTTGTATATAAACTATCAATCAATGGTATGATAATTTTATTTAAATTTAGATACCATATTTTATACAACAATGGATTTATACATAAAGTAGCAGAACATAGAATTAACCTATTAGTGGGCTATTGTTATGTGAAACAATCATCATTAATTACCACTACCGTATATACAGTACCTATCGTAAAATATGAACATGAAATAAATCGTATCATTTCTATCTAGCTAACAGTTTCTACAATCAGTGATTAATAGTAAACGTCTGTATTCGCTAATGTTTTAATCACTGGAATCCTCGCAGCTCTCTTCGTCAGAAGCAGATTCATTTCTTCTTTCCTCCTCCTCATCATCATCGTCATCCTCGGCGTTCCAGAGCACGTCATCTTCAC